AAAAATAGGGATCAATTGGTTGAGGGTTTCAAATTAGTAAACCATCCAGAGATTCCCCTGCTTTCATTAAATGGATTCGTCAGTATAGGTTTCGGTCTCTCTAAATAAAGAGTGTCCATCTTTGCACCAATGTACCTTTTGGATCAGAACTTTAGGACGTTAAACTTTGTCTGGGTCATTAATTTGATCATCTTAATCCTCAGCTATAATAGTAGTTTTTTATGGTTCTTCAGCTTCCACCAAAAGTTAATCATTGCTAATGCCTGGTTTTGTAAAATGTGCATGGAATTCGTTATGTTGAGTAGGGACACTGACTACCTGTTGCTATGCTCCCTTATTGAAGGATTTGTCATGCCTAGCTTTGGCACCAGTCTTTGTCTCTCCAGTGTACGAACTTAGCTAGTATTAGTAATTCATTTTAGGATATTGTTTTAAATGTTATAAAAAATGGGATAGTTTTAAACGTTCAAAGGTTGTGAGAAACAGGGGCCAATATTACAGCTGCAAGAATTCTACATGCTCCAGTCTTAATAAAGTGGGAGTGTGTGCTTATGTCTGGAACCAACTCTATAGTTCCTATGGTTTGTGTATTTTGCTCTAACCAGTGAAGAGCATGAAATGTACCAATCCCTTGGCGTTAAATATGTTTTTTCGTTTTTTTATTTGATTTCATTTATTGGTAAAATGTAAGGTGAGCAATCTTTGTTCCTTGTTCCTTTTTCCTCTTTCTTGTTTCAATGTGTACTTTTTGTTCCTACTATTATGCGAAAGAGCAAGAGGAAACAGTAGGCATTATGTCATCATAAAAAAAGAATTCTCAAACAAAATTAAAGATAATTTTTTTTATTTTTATTTCCCCTTTCCTGTACTCTTTATATTCTTCGTTTTTCCCCTGCTCCATTTCTAGCAGAGACTATAGAAGCAAGCTTATCACTTTTTTTCTTGCTTTAGTTTTTTGCATCCATAGTATGAAATATGCATTATCATTTACTTACCAAACATTAAATAATGTTATTTTTATGTCATTATTGGTCCATATAGATAGTGATATAGATTAATTTTGTATTGATTATGATGTTCTGATAAATCAAGAGTTGTGTATAGCATAGACAATATTTTCAAAATTGTGCATCTAGCATGTGTTAGGCTAGCACCTTTTTTTGCGCCTTGCACCTCAGGAGATATATAGTCTTTGCACCTTGAATTTGTTTTACTCAAGGTTGTTGAACTAGAGAAGTAGAGATCCTAGCACGGATCAGAAGGGGTCTAGGAGATCGTAACTCGGCTTTTGTCTGTACAACTAATAAGGCTGCAGTTGTTGCCAATCTTGCTTTCTCTTTTGAAAAAAGCAAGAATGCAAATGCTTCCTAAAAGTGAGGTCTACAGAAATCAAGTTAAATATAGCAACACAAGTTGTAATGAGGGAGCCTGAGTATTAAGATGACCACTGAACGACAAGGAACTGAGTTCCACCGCCACTGTGTTAAAAGTTATTCATTATTTCCCATCATTGAGTGATATGAGTCTTATTTTCTATTTCGGGACTAGAAAAGTAACTTTCCAGTTTTAGTGGGCTTCCTATTATCTTCAAACAATGGTGTTCTACATTGTATTTATAATTTATTTTCTGTTGCAGGCTGGGGAAGGATGTTTCTCTGGACTCGAGCTCCGGTTTCTTCAGATGTGCTGTTTGCCAAGCAGATCAGCCACCAAGTGAGGGCTTATCTGTGAATTCAAGTCCCTTGTTCTCTCCTGCACCAAAACCTTGGGAAGGCCCATTCTTATGTGCAAATTGTCGCAGGAAGAAAGATGCAATGGAGGGGAAAAGGCTGAGCAGACCTGAAGTTACTGCATAATTTCCTTAACATAGAAGCACTGATATATATTTTTATTTTTTTGCCTGGCGTTTAATCAAGCTTGGTTCTCATCCGTGGTAGATACCTGCTATAGATTGTGTAAGAAATGTAACGAGTTCTTAGATGTTTGGTGAGCTGTCAAAGTTATTTTCCTTTTTTTATTATTTCATTAATTGTGTGAACTGACTACGAGCAGAAGCGGATATATCATGATTGCTAACACTTCCGATATGTAAGTAATGAAAAGGTGTGAAACTATTTTAAAGTTTAAACTTTTGTCAAGTGATTTTTCTCCCTCGAATTTTGATGTATAATTCCAATATGTAGTTTTCCATTTGTGTTATACAAAGTATAATTGCATGGGTTGTTTCTCGAAACAGTGGAACTATTGTGATTGCTAACAATTCGAGAATTGTTGGCAATTTTCTGATTCAGAATGTTTATTATAACGACTGGACTCGGGGTCTCGGGCACTCGTTCTACAGTATATGTCAATAATGTCATAGATAAACTACCGAATTAATGACACAAATATCACTCCCCATGTTTTATTGGACTAAAATATGACCAAATCCCCTTTTCCCCAACAATTGACCCCTGAAACATCCCCATCCCCGATACTCCGTTTTTTTTTCAGCGACAAAATTCAACGAAGACATCAACGAAATTCAGCGAATGAACAATACATCAACGCAAAGCCCATCTCCTCTGCGGTAGGGTTGGACTCGGGTCCGGGCCGGGTCCGGGTCGGGCCTAGGCCCGGGCGGGCCGGCGGGTCAGAAATGGTGGACCCGGGACCGGCCCGGGTAACCACCGGGTCCGGTCCGGGTCCTGGTCTGGGCCGGGCCAAACCCATTATATATTTTTTTTTGTTTTCCTCTTCCTAATTAACCCCCCTCCCACCCCCAACCCCCCAAACCACCCCAAATGGCCCAAAATACCCAGCCCAACCCGAAAAGTTAAAAAAAATTGAAAAAACAAAAAAAAAAAATTGGCCCGAACCGGGCCCGGCCGGGTCGGGCCTTGTTTTGGGTGACCCGAGCCCGGACCGGAAAACCCACGGGCCGGGCCTACCCGGACCGGTCACTGACCGGGCCACCGGGTCGGGCCGGGCCGGAACAGTGCCGGTCCCGGGCCGGTTCCGGGTCGGGCCACCCGGCCCGAGTCCATCCCTACTCTGCGGATAGAATCATAGAACGGACGGACTGCCTCTTCCTCTGTTGCTTGGCCGTCTCCGCCTGGGTTGTCGCCATCTCCTTCGTGGACAGAGCCTAACGGATTGCCGCCGCTGCTGCCCTTCTCCTGGTCTTCATTGTCCTCGCCCCGATGAAAACTTCTTCTACTTCTTCTCCATCAAGATGCGATCGACGAAGCATCTATGACTTCAGATCTGGGCGAGAGCGGCTAGGGTTCGAGTTATGGGGCGGTGCGGTGGGCGCCGATGGATTCATGGATTGAGCTGGGTGAGTGCGGCTGCCACGGTTGGGGTTATGGAGGTAGGCTGACCTGTTGCAGAAAAGCCTAGGGAGCTGGCCGCTGGGACTGGGGGCTGCAGAAAGGGGGCTGGGGTGATGCAAGGGAGGGGGCCGGGTGAGGCAGAGGGGCTAGGGTGACGCAAGGAGGGTGTTGGGTGTGTTGGTTGCAGGCGGTTTGCGGTGTGTCACTTTGTATTTGCCACTGTAGTGTGTCACTGTGGTCTGTGGTTTGTGGCGACGTCACTGTGGCACCGTCACTGTGGCGACATCACTATGACGATGTCACTGTGGCGGTGATGGTGGCGGTGTAATTGACGTGAAAATTTTGACTTTGACAACTCTCGATGACGAGAAAAACGAACACATTGACATAAATTATTTCAGTGACATTTTCTAATCCCAAATATGTGACCTTGTTAATCACTTTTTTGTCAATTTTTAAAAGTACTCACTTTTATGGAAATTCAGTCCAATTTAGTAATATTAAGGGAATAACCCCATGCTCCGTAAAAGACTAGCAAGTTTTGGGCCATGAGTCCACGAGCAAGGACGTGGGATTGTTGGAAGGTCGATAATGAGTCTTGCGATGTGTGGTCAATACTTTGTATTCAGTGGTGAAATCCTAGACAACCAGAACTTCAAAAGGCCACATTCTGGTCAAAAGCAATAGTTTGAGTTTGGGTAAATTCCCTAAATAGGAGTAAAAAAGTTCTGAAATTACAAAATAGGAGTATCATGTTTTTTATTTCCCAAATAGGAGTAAATTTCTGCCAGATTTGGCATTACTAGGCTATTAAACATGACATTTTTTTCAAACATGGTAGATTACTCCTATTCAAGGAATAAAAAACATGACTCCTATTTTGGAATTTCAGAACGTTTTACTCTTATTTAGGGCAATTTCTATTGGAGTTTCAGCAAATCCACTGCCATACTTGGAGGCTGGAGCAACTATGAGAGTCACGACCAGAAAAGCAAATAACTCAGTCATAGAACCAACTTTTTTAAACGTATTTACTAACTTATTAATTGTTGGAGTTTTTATAAAAGGAGAAATTAGAACCAATAGAATGCTGCATGATGGGTTTTTGTAGAATAATGGAGAAGAAAAAACAACTTAATGGTGTGTTTGGTCTAGTGATGGACCCGGGCCGGGCGGGCTTTTTTTGCAAATCCTTGGGCCCGGAATCGGCCCGGGTTGATACCAGGTCCGGGCCTAACCGGGCCAGACCCGATTCAATGTCTATTTTTTTTTTTGCTTTCTTGTTATCCCCCTCCCCCCCCCCCTCACCCCCACCCCTCCCCCCCAAACCTCCCCAAAACACCCAGCCCTACCCTAGGAAAAGAAAAAAAAAATGAAAAAAAAATTGACCCGGCCCCGGCCCGAACCGCCCGGGCCGGTTCGCCCAAAACTGGGCCCGAGCCCGGCCCGTCCAAACAGGCTAAAAGCCCGGAACCGGCCAACCGATCCTTGTCCGGTCCAGGCCCGCACAGTAGCGGGCCGGCCCGGTTTAGTCCATCCCTAGTTTGGTCGAGGGGTTTGGACTTTGGAAGGGTGGGGAATTGATTTCTGTTTCATTTACGAGTCCTAAATTAAGAAATAACTACTCCATCCCTATATTTTTACTTGCTCCATTGGGGCTTTTCAAATACTTTAAGAACAAACCTATAAAAGCAAGCAAGTTGTTTAAAAAATAGTGAAAAATTAAGAACATTTATGTCAATTGCAATTGTCAAAAAGAGAAATTAATCAAGTAACAATAGAACTTCAAAATATTACCACAAGCATCATACAGCCAATGAACAAACTGCACGTACTGATATACATTCATAACATTTGATTTGGAATTTGGATGTACCATACGCTGGGTATATCCATATTTACGATATAGATTCTCGTCAAATGAAAAAATAAACACAATTCCAAATCATAATTTTCAACATTAAGGAAGCTCATTCTCAAAACCTGACATACTGAATGCACTCCACTAAAGCAATCCTAAACCTGCCAAGAGCACATGGAAGAATAAGCTACAAATAATGTTAAGCAGTGCAGCACTGCAGCCCAAGGTGGTAACTTCACGAGGTTTCAGTTTAGGGGTTTAGGCTATTTTTGGAGTTAGATTTTGGGGAGGTTTGGAGGGACTTTTTTTTAAAATATTGCTCAACTTAATAAAAAGGGGGCCTTTGGCGCACCGGTTATGGTGTTAGGATGTTTTCTTTTGGACTGAAATTTGCTGGTCTGGTTTGTTAAACGTCTGGTCTCTGTGTATTTTATAACTACGGAAGTCTGGTCTGACCTGATCTGATACGGTCTGGAACTGAAAACAGCCCAAAATAAAACATTCTTATTGTGCGATAGAGAAGTCAGGGGCTTAAGTTTCAGGAGTGACTAGTTGTGTGACAGAGAGGTCAGGGTTCAAGTTTTCGAAGCGACCTCTTGTCAAAATGACAAGGGAAGACTTACTTCGTATACACCCTTGTGGTGGAACCGTTTTGTGGACCCATGCCTTGCAGGGATGCCAATGTGCATCAGGCTGCCCTTTTTATTGTTCAAATGGATAACTCTTTAATACAAGCAATATGCCAATATGAAGTGATAAATTGGTGGAAGCACAATATTCTTATTTAATTATTCTCATAAATCCTACATAATCTTCCTGACTTAAAAATGAAAAATAACACCCCTCCAAAATCCAACCCCCAAACATACCCTTAGTATCACAATATTAAGTATTAATTTGGCAGAAGTATTCGTCATGTAACCGAACAAAAAAAAGACTCACGTAGTTCATCAAAAGAAATATTGCTGACACTTTCTCCCGCTTTTATAAGACGAACCCTTCCTGCAAAAGAAAACGTGTAACAGCACTATGAGATGTAAAAAACAAGTTCTTTTAGATGTATTTAGGAGACAGCACATTAGTAACAGATGTTACAAATCAAAATTCTTCATACCCATGGTGTTAAAGGTTGCTAATTCGTTATCAGTATATAGTTAATACTTGTGTCAAGATGAATGCCAACATTAATAGGCCTTGTTGGGTTGAAGGATGGTGCATGCTTGGTTGGGGGGGATGTGAAGTGTATGCATGGGGTAGGGCTCAAAGATGGTGCAAATCAACATAAAGCTGAAGTGAGCATCACATGTAGAGGATCTGTGGTTCCAGGATTTGTCAAGAAACGTGTGATGGACTACGTTTAATAATTTAGAGCAGTTGAGGAGGTAGGTTGTGTCAAGAAAAGTGTGATGGACGGATTCCATACTGTACATTTTGAATTTAGTTTTTTTAATAGATCATTTTATGTAGCTTTTGAATATATAAACTTTATTTGCTAACTCAAAATAAATGCTTATAAGAGATTGCATTGTAAATAACTTTAGTCAAGTTTCGTCACACAAGTCGAGCATACAACAAGGGGAGGAGGGAGAAGATAAGGCCACAGTTCAACTGGATAAACATGTGTGCGTGTTAGTCCACTTGAACTGGTACTGTGAAAAGAAATGCAGAAAATTACCATAAAAATAGCAAAATAGTGAAAGAAACTCTAGGAATCTAGTAATAATGCACATCTTGGTGACACTTGCATTAATATGACTTCTCAGTATTTCATTCAAATCAGGTTGTGGAATGCAATTTTCATCATTTTACGGATTGATGCATCTTTGTACTTTATACTACTAGTCCAAATTATTTTTAATGAGAGAATATGCATCTTAGTAGAAGCAGGCCATGCATTTCTATGGTTCACTACAAAGAACAACCTTCCGAGATGCCCCAATGACTCGGAAGCATTTCTACCCCTCTTAAGCATTATAATAACATAAACCATTTTTGTAATGATCAAGCTTCTGCTTTGACAAATGCAAGAAAGTTGACTTACCATCTCGACGCACACAAACTTCTGGTATGCTTTTAACTTCCCCATTGATGCTATCATTGTAGACCCTGGTTTCAATGTCACCCTCAACATAAACAGAAGAGCTGAAATGACATCACAAATTAGAGGGAGAAAGGGGGTAAATTTAAATGATTCTGTAGTACTCCCTCCGTCCCGCTACAAGGTTCCCGTGAACGGTTTACGATGTTTGACTGACGATAAAGCAACTTAATCCCTGTTCACTCTGATTATTTTTAGTAAATAAAATTAACATATTCAGAAACTACATTAAAACCGCTGCAACGCCTGATAAAAAAATGTAAATTTGGTAAAAATTTGATTTATAAAGTAAAAGATTAAAAATGATTTAAGTTGACCATGAGAATAGTGGACGGGAACCTTCTAATGGAACGGAGGGAGTATATATTAAAAATAACATGACCTACTTTTTGGTAAGTTGTTGCACCGCATAAGCACCAAGCATATCATTATGTACTGCGATACGATGCCACTGGGCTGGTTTCGGTAAGCTCTGGTCTACTACTACTCTCTGGTCAAATAGGCCGCCTGTTCCAACTGTAAAGATAGTTACTGTCCTCCCATTTCTCAATATCTTCTGGACAGGAGTTTGACCAACTTTGCCACATATAATCGCCTGTGAATAAATGGCAAAGGGTGTTCAAGTACAATTGATCACTCAATCACATCGAACTTTAAAACACCACACTTAACTGGCATGCACATATTACAAGAGAAAACTGAAGAAATGTAAGCATACAGTTTAAAATCTAACACTTTAGTCACATATTTGATCAACTTTTATTAGCCATAAATATCATGTTGTGCAGTATGAAGCTGATCTCCAAGCCCAAGATCCAAGAAGAAAGAAGATTATTTTGGAATGGGGCTCAGAGTAGCTCATTGACCATTGTAAGGAATTGAGAACTTTAAGCATTTAAAACATAATATAATCCAACACAACTCAAAGAACTGCCTCAAAGAGATACGACCAAAAATGCACATAATTTTGCTGTTTCGTATATAGTATGCATCAAATTCATCGTTTCATACAGTTGGATCCAAGGATAAAACACACAACAAACATTATCCAAGCAGATCAGAAATACTCCGCTGTATAAAACTCCCGAGATAAGTCTGCAGTGAATAATGCCATTTAATCACCCTAAGCTACCATTGTTGAGAAAATGGAACAACTCAAGCTCCAAAATGAAAACAATACGAATTGCACTTATGTCTTAATTTTATAAGCAGACCTTGTGGACACCCCGAGAATTCCATCCTTTTCGGGGATCAACTCCATGGAGCTTTATCTCCGGCCTCTCGGGTAGAAAATCAACATCTTCAATTTCTACACTGCCAATCCCGTCAGAATCATTAGCTTCACCATGAAATGTGCCGGTTGAGAATAATTGTCTGGAAGCTCTCTGTACACCAATCACTTCAATTCAACAAAAAAGTCATATAGGAAAAAAAGTCAGCCTTGACTCCAAGCAGATGGAAAAGGGAGGTTTAGATAAACTACCGCCGCCCATAAAGTAATCCTCTCAGAGCAAATGTTCAGAGAAAAAGGCTATTTCAAATTGCAATGAGCGCTACATTGGAGCGAAAGCTCTCTCCAAACTCAGAGAGGAGACTTCCATCAAACTATACTTCTTAGAAACAGTATAAAATTTCGCAATTGGATCAAAATGACAAAAGGTCGTAAATTTGTTGCAACAACTTCAACGTATGAAATGTGGTACTGAGTGAGAGTTTGTGTTGTGGGAGAAATCTTTACCCGGGGAAGAAGTGGGTTTTGCGGCAGGCGAGATTTGTAGGAGCTTGACGAATTTCGCTGCGGAAAACTTCATTGTCAGTAGTTGAAGGATACTACAGTAAGATGAATTTGAGGTATAATAAGGGTTTAAGCATCATCCCATGCCCATCGAACATGGAATATCATTTCTTAATATTTAGTGACTACCGACTACTCCGTATATATATGTGTTTGCATTTACGGTGATTTATAATCGTTCATAATTATTCACAATTATTAAGTCAAAATTTTATTCAATGATAAAAAAAGAGTCAAATTTTTATTCATGACTTTTTTATCTGTAATATTTTAGAAATACTTCAGAACTTATATATATTCATATTTGTTTTTATTTTCTATTTTTATACTCTGTATTACTTTTAACTCATTCTATAGGCCGTTTGACTATACCGTTTTTCGACTTATCAGACTTATCAATCAACTTTTTCATCAAACACCTAAGTTTTGATTTCACGCGCTGAATTGTGTAATAAGCAGAAAAAGTAAGGTTGGAGTTACTTTTCTGACTGTATTGGCTGAAGTTACTATAGATGATCATTTTAGCTATTTTTACATATAATTTTTTCTTTATTTTATTAATAAAATATACTTTAAATTTATTTTTTTTCTTAAATCAGCAGAATCAGCCAATGCAGCTACTTCAGCCATAACTTCATAAATTTCAGCAGAATCAGCTAAATCAGCCGATTTTGGTGCCACCAAACCGGCTCCTAATCTCTCTTAAGCTTAAAGAGCCTGTGATGTGCTTTTCAACTAATAGGGACGACTACTGCAAGATATAATTAAAAGACATCGTCAAAATATTAGATCTAATTAAGTTAAAATTCAATTTATTGTTGTACGCTAGTTTCCCAAAGAAGATTTTTCATTTTACAGCATTGGAACAAATAACGTGAACCGATTTGAGTCTCTCATCATACACCACTCGGGTTGTTTTTACTTGGACCGTAATTCATCTCAGACCAGACCAGACCAGACCAAAACAGACCAGATCAGACCAGACCAAACCAGATCAGACCAGACCAGACCAGACCATACCATATTTTATTATTCTTATTCTTATTATTATTATTATTATTATTATTATTATTATTACTACTACTACTACTACTGTTAAGGGTGTGCACCGGTTCAAAACCGGATCGGACCGTATCGAACCGGACCGGATATACTTACGGTAGAAATTACATGCATTCATATATTCATGGGCGGATCTACCTTTAAGCCAGAACGGCCTAGGCCCCCTCATTTTTTTACAAAAAAAATGTGAGATTTTCTTGAGTGGTGATTTTCCGGTATTTTTTATTTTGAGATAATTAGCCTAGGTAAATTAAAACTTCTTCACTTTCCCAATGTATAACTTAACTACTTTTTTTACCAAAATAATATTAAAAATCATAAAATTTAATTCAATCCGTAATAATTAATTAAATAAATAATATTAGGTTATATTATAAAAACCTAATCTCACACTCTTTTCACCAACCGGTCCAACCCTATCCTCAATTCTCCCACCTCCAGAGATACACACCCCTGCCGCCGCACACCCCTTGCCGCCGCCGCTCATGGCCCGTTGTCCGCCATCTAGCCAACACCCACCGTCCAGGGATTGTGGAAGGTGCGTGCTACAGGGATTGTTGAAGTTGAGACCTGGAAGGCTGGAAGTACGTTGGGTTCGTTTATCCGATCAACCGCTGCAGTGGCTAGGTGGAGCTTCGTCGGGAAACGATGGCCGTGAAGCTTGCGTGTGACCGTTGGGTCACTGCGTCGATTGGACCGCCTTTCCAACCTCGACCCTGTAGTTGGTACGGGTACTGTTTTGTTTGACTTTTTCAAATTGGGCACCATCTATGCAGCGCTTGCTTGATGCGATGGAGTGATGGGCTGTTGGGTTGCACGTGTAACTCAGAATCTTGCAATCACTAGGACTCAGGGAATGAGCAGCGGAATTGGCTTTATGCGCTTAGAGGCGCTGTGATACTCACGGGAAGGAGAAGCCTTTTTTTACTTGGACAATTTTGGATGATTTTTGGATTTTATATTGGGCTTTAGAAAATTAAGGTTTGTAGACATTAAATATGGGCAGTGAATATGGGCAGTAAATATGATAATAAATATTGTAAATATTGTTAAGTATGCTAAGTGAATTTAGGGTTTGTGAGCATTAAATATGATCATTGATAGAGAATATGACAATAAGTGTTGAGTATGACAGTGAATATAGCAATATACTCAGTATATGTTGTACATGAAACTAAATGAATGCATTAAGGAAGTTTGTTGTGCATTAATTATGACTGGTAGTGCAGTAACGCAGAGCAGTATTTTCGCCATGAAAAGTAATTAATTATTTCATTAATTAGATGTAGAATAATGAACTTATTAAATCTAAAAAAGGAAAAAATAAAAACTATAAATAATTTTGTAAAGTGAATGAGAAGAGAATTAATTTTGGTGGAAGTGCAGTGATTATTACCGGATGTACAGTAACGTTGTGCAGTTATGTCGTGCAGTAATGTCGTGCAGTAACGACATTAGTGCAAAATGCACATATTCTAAATAAGGGTATTTACGTCATTCAATATTTAAATATAAACGTTTTTTTTATTTACGATCATACAAAAGTTTAAAAACTGGTTAAGCTATAGATTTGAAAACTCAATAGTTTTAGTCATATCTAAGAAATTTTCCCTTTTATTTTCTCTGCCTATGGTTTTTTTCTTCAGTCGGGTTTTATGTTGTAAAAATAATAGACGGTAAAATAGTTTTATCACTTTGAACCTTCAACCTTTGTAAGTATGACATTTTTTAAAGGATTACCTTCAATGGAGTCGGGGTTCTTCCCGAGCATCTACCAACGCACTGGGATTGACGATTCTTGAGTCCCTTCCTCGATTAGGAAGGGTGACCTACCTGGCTACCCATGGTAGTCTTTCCATCTCCCGTGCTTGAATGAGATGTTCCTGTTTGGTTTTTGCTTCCCGAGGTTCCACCATAAACCTTGAGTCTTTGTTTCGCCCGAGTTGTGGACATGCTACCTTCACATGCCCCACCTACCAACATTGGTAACATTTCGGGGGTTCACGACCTCCCTCGATATAATTCTTCTTCTCCATAATTCTTCCATAGATTCCAGTTATTCTTCTATGCACCCGTTGAGGACAATCCATCTTCATGTGCCCTGTATTCCCGCATTGGTAACATTTAGGAGAGAGATCACAACTCCCTAAATATACTCCATCTATTATTGTCTTTAAAGGGATTGCATATCCGATTTCTTAGAGCAATGGCATCATCATCTTCCTCAAATCTCACCAAAATGAACATCGGATACTCTCCAAGTAAGTCCCTATAAATTTACAATTATGATTAATTGTGTGATGTTATTTGATCTTGGTTATATATGATGATTAATTTCCCATCATTTGGTGACACCTACCCGTGTTGTTTTTCATGCTATTTCTGCATCTAGGGGTCGCCGAGGCTTGTGACCCTGAGTTTTGCCCACTCATGCCTGGGTTTTACCTAGATGGCGGTGCGGGTGCTCTGAAGGTTTTGTCACCCTCAGTCATGGGCGGAGCTAGGAGTGGGCCAACCTAGGCCATGGCCCACCCCAAATTTTAAAAATGGCTTAATTTTTAAGGTAACAAATTTCGTGTAATTTTTTTCTAAAAATATTCTTTGTACCGACCCAGTCCGACCCAGTGTCCTGGCTCTGCCACTGCCCTCAGTGTTTGTCCTCTTAGAATGCCCTTGGGGTCGTTGTCTCCCCGCATCCTTTTCCGTCTCGTCGCCCCCCTTGGCTTGGCTTGCTTGGCGTTTCTGTAAAAGCCTCGCACGTTCGCGTTGAAACAAATCTACGACAATGTTCATTTGTTCTATAGGCCCACAATCAAGGTCATCATTCGTATAATCATCCACTTCATCACTCGAAGCCTCGAGTGGTTCTGTTTTGCCCTTACAATTTGAGCTTCTAGAGTATCTTGACCTCTTGGTACTAAAGACTCTTCTCGGTTGGCATGCCCGGTTCCATCCGGTGCAAACCACTCCAAGTCCTCCCTATTCATAATGCTTCCACCTCCCATTTTTGAAAGAAATGTTTAGAACGAGTCATTAGACTCGTATCAATTGTCAACTGAAAGATAGGTACTTAAGACATCTCTTGGGTCAAGTCACCGCCATACCAATTGTTAAGGGCGCCATTTTAAAAACTAGAGACTTTGCAACTCGAGTACCAAAAGTTCTTAAATACAAAAACATTTCACATGCTCATGGTTTTCAAAATGATTTTGAAGAAAATAATTTTGAGGAACTTCATTGCGATGTTTATGGACTAAGGCTCATACAGGTCCGGTATGGTCTGTTTAAGTCTTGACTAATCTGGGACTAAAAATAGTCCAATTAAAAACATCCTAAACGAGTTAAACTCTTAGTGTATGAGTTACACTTGGGCTATTTGATATTACATTTCAAACCACGAAAGTTACATTTCACTATAAAAGATTTACATCACAAAAAACATTGAGACAAAAAATGTTACTTTTAATCTGCATTTTTATTTGAAATAGTAGCCCCAATATTACATCCCATGTTTCAAATGACAAAATATTGAGTCTTTTTAAATTTCTCAAAAAACTGACCCAGTTTTGAAAATGGGGTCCAATGCCATTCAAAAGGGCCCAATCCCGCGCCTTATTTTTTCCCTCTCCATGTCCCGTTCTATCATCCTCTTTCCACCGCTTCTCTACTTTCTTCTCCGTTTCGACTTATGAAATATACACGATGAACATTCTGCAATTTGTTCTTCAGTAACGTTTTGTCTTCGTTGAAGTCTCCTCTCCCATCAAGATTTCAGATTTCAACTTGCTCATGACAGAATCTTATTTTATGAAGGTATTTAATTAAAATCGGTTGATGTGTTATCAACTTTGTATGCATGTATAGATATAATCGCACATATACATATAATCACATCTGCAATCGTATGCTCAAGTGTGACTTTGAAGTTGTAGCTCGTAATTTGCATTGAACTATTTTTTTTGTTTTTTTCTCTCGGTATTACTGAGTTGCCATCCTACAGATTCTCGAATGCTTTGATTATGAATACTTTTCGAAACTAGTTATCATATAGTGACTAGTTTAATGAATGTA